AAAACCGTAGCAGGAAGCTAGCGAAGTCGTAGTATATATCGTCAAATATATATATATATATATATTGTCACACTGTGAATCAGAGCGCAGAAGCAAAAAAAAGGAAGAAGAAAAGAAGAGAAAAGAAAAAAGGGGGAGAAGAAGAGGTAAGGAAAGCTCCACCTGTTCATAACCTCTTACGTACAAGGCCAGCCACGTGGATGACAGGTTGAGCGCTGGCTGCCCCCATCCCCRTGTGTCATAAAGACCCACTTGCACGCAGCCAAAAGGCAAAGAGGTAAAGAAAAGGCGGAGGAAACCAAACCTCACAGAAGAAGAAAGCCTATTAAACAGACGAAGCAAGTACGCATCCCACAGATAATCCAATTACCATCCCACAGAACATATTTTTCTTTTTTCTTTTTTCTCAGGTTTCTTTTTTGTGTTTTTCTTTCCTCGGTTTCTTTTTTTATCTTTTTACTCGGTTTCTTTTCTTATCTGTTTCTTCTACACTTCATCTGTCACCCCCTCGGCAGATAGGACAACTACGGTGAGGATGACGGGGATGTTCACAGGGATACCCAAGGAGAGTTGCGTTAGTGCAGCGTTCAGCCGGACAGCTAGCACGAACCATCCCATCGAAACAATCCCGACATAGGACATGTTGTATATATATTGTCACACTGTGAATCAGAGCGCGAAGGCGAAAAATAAAAAAATAAAAGCAAAACAAGGAAAGGACAAGAAGGAAAGCCCCACCTGTTCATCACCTTTTACGTACAAGGCCAGCCACGTGGATGACAGGTAGCGCTGGCTGCCCCCATCCCCGTGTGTCACAAGGACCCCCTTGCACGCAGCCAAAAGGCAAAGAGGTAAAGAAAAGGAGGAGGAAACCAAACCTCACAGAGGAAGAGAAAGAGAAAGGGCAAAGAAAAGACAAAGGAAGAAAGGAAGAAAGCAAATGACACATCCCACAGATAAACCAACTGCCACTGTCACTACAAAGTTCAACATATTTTTTTCTTCTTTTCTTTTTCTTTTTTTCTTTTCTCTTTTTTTTTTCTCCAGAAATTATACTTTTTTCTCTTTCCTTCTTTTATCTGTCCTACAATTAGTGTTGCTCCTGATCGCTTAATTCTATTGACCAGTCAGGAAGAGGAGCCCCCACCCCACCCCGGCAGATAGGACAGGCACGCTGAGGATGACGTGGATGTTCACAAGGGTACCCAAGGAGAGCTACTTCAGCACAGCATTCAACAGGACGGCTAGCACGGACCATCCCATCAAAACAGTCCTGACAAAGGACATGCTGCCCACATGTCAAAAAAACAGCAGGACGTTCATCACAGTGCGGCATCACGCAGTGCTCATAGCGTCCTTGAGCACAAAAGGGACAGCGAATATCATTCTGGATAGGGATGTGCACAACGAGCAAATGTTGGACATCCTTCGGCACAGACGGCAGCGGCTGCAATAGATTGATACTAATGTTGATGGCATAGGTGATGAATTCCGCACGCAGCCAAGACGCACTGCGTCCCCGTCCCAACAGGTGTCACACGAGAGGCAGTCGATCAATAATCGAGAATAAAGTATGATTCGGTAATGCAAACAGAAATTCATTAACGTCAAAAATAGCTCGACTCATCGTCCCACCATCCCACAGTTCCCACTGGGAAGCTGCAAGAACGAGTGCCATATAATGCCCGGGTCTGTGCAAAATACAGGCAGAAATATGAGGATGGTCATTAAGGTCATCACCTGGCGTCGCATGATGCATAAGAAGGTGGCGACCGTGGAAAGCTAGCTGTAAGACATTTACAGTGAAGCCTCCTGAGGTAGTATAATTATTAATCACTACCTTCAGACCGTGGACCATTATGGTCAAACAACAATTGATTTCCAACAGCGTCAAGCTGATAAGCAATCGTAAAAAAATGGGAAGCAGTATAACATTGACGCTGATAAGCCATTGAGGTAGGCAGACATTTGTGGCTGTCAACCCAGCAAGCATTTGGTAGATCTACCCGCAGATCCGATTCGGTCACCACTGGAAAGCTAGGTCTGATCTGGCGGGGTAGCTAGGTCTGATCTGGCGGGGTCGGCGCATGTATGACGAACGCCGTCAACGTGGCAGAGAAGGCTGTCGGTAAGACAAAGAACCCCGCAGATTAGCATCAACGCGGCATCGAGAGGAAGGGGGACTGGGAGGAGGAGAGAATGAACGAACCTGCCGACGACCCAATATAGACAACGAAAACAGAGGGGCCAATCTCAGCCAGCGTGGGGGAGCAAATGATGACGAAGAAGAAGAAGAAGAAGAAGAAGAAGCGGACGCTGGCAAAGAGGAAGGAGAAGGAGAGGGAGGGGGAGAGAGAGGAATGTGGAGGGGAAA